CTGCTACCACTGTTAAAAGCCAGGCCACCTCAAGAGGAACTGCCCTAAGAGGCCCCATGGGCCATGCCCTGGATGCAAAGGTGACCACTGGAGATCGGTCTGCCCTCTGAGGTGGAGGTCCCAGAGCTCAGACCCATCCTACTTAGTCCAACAGGAATGATAGGGCCCGGAGCATACTCTGCCTTCTCCCTCTGGCCAGACCATCATCTCCATGGCAGAGCCCTGGGTAATCATGACTACAGAGGAACAAGGAAACAGCCTGTTGCTAGACACAGGTGCAAGTCTCTCGGTCCTTCTTTTCAATCCTGGCCTTCCTTCCAGCCGTCACACCTGTGTGACAGGAGTCACTGGTGAGGAGGTAATAAGCTATTTTTGACAACCCTTAGGCTGTAACTACTTGTTAGATCCTTCTTGCATATCTCTGTCTTCCTGAGAAACCACTCTGAAGATACCACCATGTATTACAGCAGCCATTGATATTTTCCTACTAATCTATCCATAACTCTGTAATGTTTGTATTGTTCCTATCCTATTTCGTAAATGGATGCATGTTTATTATTATGTGTTTCCTACAACAACCATTGAGAATAGTTAATGATTATTCAATTGGTCACTCATGTACAGCTCTATTTATTTTCTTCAGAAGCCACTTTGAAGATACCAAAGTATAGTACAACAATAATCTGATAATCTCCTACCTCTTTCGTCTGTGACTCAGTATTATTTCTCTATTTGTTTTCCTGAGAAGCTATCTTGTAGATAACAATATGTAAAACAATAACCATTGATAATTTCCTACCACTTTGTCTGTAATTTGGTAAGTCCCCCCTATTATTATGTTACCCTTCTTTTACTCTTTAAAATAATAAATAAATAAATACATATATGAGGTAAGTACCACACATTACACCTAAAATCTTATCTGCTGTCCATCAGAAAAAAATCACACACCTAAGTTCCTTGGTCTGTAGATCTATAGGATCATGAGTTTCACTGTCCATGTGAAATCGAACTTCTGGAGAAGATAGTGTCAAAGCCCTAAGAAAAATTAAAGAGGTGAATTAGTCAAATGAGCCAGTATCAAAAACAAAACTCTGGAAATGATACCTTTAAAATAGAAAATGATTATATATAAAGTGTGTAAGAATTGTTCATTTGAAGGTTTTTAATGTTCTATTTTCAGGAACAGCTTAGTATTTCATAGATTAATCCCTATCGTTTTGTTCTGAAACCCTGTATCACTCTTATTGTTTTGCTTTGTTTTATTTTTGTCTATGTTGTTGGCATTTTGCGATTGTTCTTTTTTTAATTCTCTTTAAAATAAAAAAATTAAATTAAATTAATTTAACAAGTGAACAACAGCAACATAAGAAAATCAGATTCCCAATGCTTCTGAGAGTTTGAATATACTCTGTACTCAACTCTAAGTTTTTACTGAGCTACATAACTGCAATCATAAACTGCAACCATAACAGGCAGGATTTTACATACTATGGAAACCACGTACAGTACTGAGTCAAGGAAAACAGAGAGAGGCAAAGGGATGTTGCCACAGGGATTTTGTGACATCAGAAAATGCAGAGTTATTAAGTACATTCTACATAAATTCAAGCAACAAAAGAAACGTATAATAAAGTACTACTCCCAATCTGTTACAAGGACTGATGGCTACTCATATCCAAGTGCCCTGTGTAAGATAATGTACTATGCTAAAGGGCTCACATAAATGGTTCATTTAATGAGTAGCCAAGCAGTCCTTTGAAAAATAAATTCTCAAAATGCTAAACACATTCAGTCTAATGTTTATACCTCAAGCTAGTTTCATTTAAGTCAGCTCCATCAACGTGAAAGTAAGAATTTTCATGAGAGGCACTCTTGGACAATGATGGAGGAAAAACAATGAGATGAGAGGCAAGTTAAGTGAGATTCTAAGTCCTCCTCGTCCTCTGTTCATCTTTATTAGAAAACCTACAAAAGGAGCACTGGAAAAGGAATCCTCACAAATACTCCTTTTTCATCATATAGGACAAGATTCTACATGAGGTCCAATACTAATTACATTTTGATCCGTTCTTTCTTCACAGAGCATGTAAAAATGTTATTTTTATCCAAGAGTATTAATAATTAAAGGTGAAAGGTCAATGTTTTCTCTGTTTGCTCTAAAACTGAGAAATTCAATGCTATCTTTTATTAACAGATGACAATCTTAGAAAAAACTAGTTTTTAAGAGTAAAAAATTCCTATTTTTGAAAAGCTAGTTACCAATACAATTGTTTCCAGCTTACTTAAGCTTGAGCAATAGCTTTGGTCTAGTTTGATAGCATTTGTTAGGTTTTAATACACATATGTAATCCTTAAACAATCTCACATTGCATATTGAAGATTATATAGAAAAACTCCGAAAACTGACATGAGAGGAGAGCTAGCAATGGCTAAGCATAATCCCTTAGAACACCAGGCACATTCTTCATTGATGGAAACATCCTACAGTTGCACTGTCAAATATGGTAGTCACTAGCCACTTGTGGCTGGTGAGACAAAGAAAAATTAACTAATTTTAATGAATTTAAATGTAAATAGGAAGCCGTGTGTGGTGGCACACACCTATAGTCCCAGCACTTGGGAGGCTGAGACAGGAAGATCATCATGAGTTTAGAACCAACCTGGGCTACATAGTGAGTTAAAAGCTAACCTGAACTATATAGTGAGACCTTGTCTCAAAAAAAAATAAATAGCCACATTTTATGAAATAGTGCTAATATAAAGTATGCCATCACCAACAAAAATTTTTTAGTAATTGCTTGTGACATAATCCTAGACAGTGTGTAATTGTTTCAATTCTAGATTACAATGGGGACTTTATGTGCATTTACTTAAAACACCTGAAAACAAATGTTTAATCTGAAGAGCATTTCTAATTAAAGTGGAAACAATCTGTAGAAGTCTTCAAGAGTTTTTGCCTTCCTGAAATTTGTTAAAAGAACTTTAGATTTGTAAGTTTAGCACAACTTCTGTTATGGCTTGTATTTACATGTCCCCCAAAGCTAATGCAGTTGTAGGTGCGAAGTTTTGAAGGTGTCATGTGGATTAGGGTGTGTCAATGTGGATTAAGGGTGTGAAACTGGGATTAAGGTTGTGGATAGTGGAAGCCCCACCCTGGGTATGGGTGTCACCAATCAATAATAGGTTTGTAGCTTGGATGAAATATAAAGGGACAGAAAGAAGGCAGACCCGCTGCTGCTGCTTGCTGCTTTGCTGCTTATTGCCTGCCAGAGCCAGTCAACTATGGACTGAACCCTCTACAAACTGTGAGCCAAAATAAACCTTTCCTCTTCTAATTTGTGGGTGTTGGGTATTTCATGTCAACAATGAGAAAGTAACAAAAGCAACTTCTGAACATTAGTCCAGAATTAAGCTGTTAATATTTAAAAGTTAACTAGAAGAAATGCAGTCTCCACTTCTCGATTCAGCCTATTTTAAATAATTCAGCACTGTCAATACTCAAGCATGCCACATAATCCAAGTTATCTGAATATCATAATAATAAATTAAAATACATCTTAATAGATATTTTTGAAATATACCCTTTCTCAATTCTTCCTTTTTTCAGAATTTTAGCGAGTTTATTTAGTCCTCGGAGACTAGTGGTAATATCATCATTCATGGTTGCTGAATCAATTCTCATCTGTGCTTCAGCATAAGTAAGAGAAGCCTAAAAAAAAAAAAACAAACTCATGTTAATATAACTCTCATAAATGATAAAAACTGACTTAGTATTTAAACTACTTTATTTATCTCATATTATTTACTATTTAACCATATTATTTTATCTCTTGTATCTACTACATAAAAAAACCCATAACTTCAGAAAACCAGAACAAGAAGAATTCATAGCTTATAGTAGCTATACTTCACATCTATGATTTCTGGTTCATTATCTCTTATCTGAGGTATTACACAACATAAGCAAACTTAAATTAAGAAAAGAAAAATAGCAATATTATTAAATTGCTTAGGCTTTAGCTACTTTTTGATGGAGACCACTATGAAGCAGCTCTGAGCAGGATTTAAATTAACCAAATGGCTTTCCATGTTTACTTGTGAATCACTGGTCCCTACTGAGGCCTGTAATGGTGGGGGAAGCTATAAGGCCTCAAAGGACAAGATAAGGCCACAGCTGGGGACTTCTGGCTCCAACCTGAATTAACTAAAAAAACACTGTAGCTGCAGGCATCTCACTCCTGCAGTGAAGGCCTTCCTGAAGATGAAATAGTTCTCCTAAATTTACATAAAGTATTTCTTGGAGAAGTTCTTAAAGGGATTCCCAAGTCCTGCCCAGATTCCTGGATTTTCTTCAGTATCCGCCTCCTTTGTTTGAAAACCTAATAAATATGGGCTGCCCAGGGAAGTCTTGGTCTTAACCTAGAGAATCTTGAATTCTATAAGACAGCTGGACCCTCCTGGAGCCCTAAAATCATTTCAGTTGTCTTATTTATTTAAGCCTTTACCATCTACTCATTTGGGAGATTGCAGGCCTAATCAGCCCAAATAACTAAGGGTTATTAACATGAAAACTTTTATATTTCAATTAGTGCATATTCAATTAGAAATACTTATGACAAAATGAAAGACATATAAGAGAACCTGGAGATCCCCTCCAGGGTATCTTCCCAAAATAATTAAAAGTATCACACCACAGCAATATATGCACACCTATGTTTATAGTGGCATGGTCTATCTTGGAAACAATTCAAGTGCCCATCAACTGGTGAATGAATAAAGAAGATGTAGTTCTTTTATATAGTAGACTACTGTGCTGTAAAAAAGGATATGCTTGAGACATGTCTAGGAAAATGGATGGAGTTGAGTCCATATTCTTAAGTGAAACAAATTAGATACACGTGTAAATACCACGTTGTTTCTCTGACGTGAGAAACCAACATCAAAATGTATTAATAGGTATTGTGAAATAGGAAGAAAACGTTCAAATGGGGAGGGGAACAAGGGAAAGAGAGGGGGAAAAGAAAGAAGAAAAAAAGTAAAAAAAATTGAGAAAAGAAAGAAAATATGGAATCCAAGCTTTTGTAAATGGGGAGGAGAAGAGTTGAAGGGAGGGTGAAGAATGGGTAAAAAAACAAGTTATATCAGGTACAGGTACAAATTCTCTATGATGAATGTGATCATTTTGTGTATCTAAAATGTATTAATAAAATCTGATTTAAGAAAAGAGGGAGAGGGAACCTGGAGAAAAGTACAAAACAGGAAAACGATGAGAAAGATAATCTGGCTCCATTATGTCTGTGCTTGATCTCAGAATCCAACTATGACTTCTAACATTACTTCTATGAGAAAAATGTGAATTAGAAGATGATATGCATGCTAACTTTTAAAGCAGTAATCATTTTGAAGGAGGAATAATCTCAATACTTGGGTTCCTGAGTTGGACATAAAATCTTCTATCTGGTCTTTTCAACAATTGACGTTATAAGTTTCTGAGTACAGGACAGTCGCATATAAACTAAAGTATGTTCTGACTAACACGAAAAATTAAGTAAATAACTGAAAACATCATTTGACTTTATAATAAAAATATACTTTTATGGGCCTAAGTTTTTCAAAATAATCTAGGAAACTGTTAAAAGTATGAAATATTTTAAACACTGGAAATGAACCATGAAACTAACCTTTGAATTAATGACACTTTTGGTAAATCTTGTTTTTAAGATTTCAGCATTGTGACTCATTTCCCAAATACATGAAAATGCCAGCCTATGAGTAAAAATAGACAGTATTTGTTGATGTGAATCAGTTAAAATAGTAAATACAACATTCTTATGGACAAGCATGTATAAATACCTGTCAACGTCACATCTTAAGGAACACAAATTAGAGCTAAGCAACTCGGGAACCATGTCAATCCTCTGTAAAAGACAGAATCTCCGATTACTTAGGTATATCCATGTTTGTTTGGGGTTCTATCCTCAAATAGCATTAACTGAACAAGGAGAGAAAAAGGAGTGTTCTGGTCTTTTCACTAAGAGAATTACAAAAACATCAAGTAAAAAATCTCGTTGTGCAAAAAGACTCATACAAAATTGTAACAAAAAGCAAGTAATGAAAGAAATTAGATTTCATACCAGTTAATTTAAGCTTAAATCCTCTACACTAACTACCTAGCTGTCCTCAAAGTATGAAATCTGTGATATTTGGTAACTGATATAAGCCCTACTAAATCTATAGTTGAACCTCAATGTTTAACAACAAACTACACAGTGTTTTAAAATAAAAGAGAGAAACTACATTTTTATGGGAAAAAGCTATATGGACAACTTTGACCATGAGTTTGTAATAAACTAAGCATAACTTTGCCCTCACTTTTACAACTGTTCTACATAAATCTATCAGACCCATACCTAAAGGAAAAATAGAGTAATACCTCAGTTCACAAATCTTTTTGTGCTCAGACAATTTGGTTTGGCAAAACGTGGGTTCTGTTCTCGAAAGCTTCATCGGGTGATAAACATGACCCGCAGGAACCCAAACGCAACCATCTTCTCCAGAATCATGGAACAGTTAAGTTTGTGAACTGAGGTACCACTGTACTGCACAAACTTTTTGATCAACTACATCTAAACACCAAAAACTGCAATGTTTTCAGTGAGTTAGGCCACCTTATTCCAGGAACAGTATTTCTTCTAGCTACGTTTCAGGCTGTGATTGTTAAAGAACTCACAAGTGCAAATGACAGTTAAACACATTTTAAATTCAATGTATTTACCTTTTCACAGAGATACACAGTTGTTCCTCTTCTGGCTGATTCTTGATCCAAGGCATTTCCTGGCCTAATAAAATGGCTAACATCAGCAATATGAACACCAACCTTAAAAGGTAAAAAGAAAAGGACGTTGATAAGAATTAATAATACAGCATACATAGCAATGGAGTTTAAATGACAAGAACTTTAGCAGTACACGCCCATTAGTTTTTGTAGCTATAACCTTAACATGACCAATTCACATATTCTATCTTAGATGAAAAGAAAATAAACTCAAGAAAAGAATTATATTTGAGTAAGAATGTTATGACAATGAATGTCATTACAAACATGAGTACCTCCAAATTCCCATTTTTGAGCTCTCTGCAGTGCAGAGCGTCATCTATATCAGTACATCCTGGCGGGTCCACACTACAAACACACAGATGCCTCAGATCTTCTCGGTTTTTCATGTCCTAGAAGATGCCGCATTAGAAAGCACAAAATTAGTTCAACAGTACAACTGCAACACAGCTGTTGCAAAATCATTATCTGCATAGAAGTAACATAGCTTTAATTTCTTGTTGACAAGCACACGTGATTTGTAACCAGTGGTTTTTATGCATCTGAAAAATCTGACATTTACTAGTGTCTGCAACCTAGAAAAGTTTACCTTTCAGTAAATAAGCAAATGATTAAGATAATACTTAATAGTGCTAATCATCTAGCTAAATATAGGGGAAGACAGACCATAGTTTCTACATATTTAAAAACAAGTGTAGAGAGTAAAAATATTCAGGGTATAATTTATAGTCACTAGTAATTGTCTTCAACTTACATTTTCAGTAATGCTCCAGGGCATCTTTGGCAGAAAGCTAAGAACAGCCTGTGAAAAAGGCTGATGAGGAACATCATGTTCAAGTAACAGCACTTCCGTTTCGGTCTCTTTTTCTCCAACATCACCTAAATTTTTTACGAAGTGTCCCTAAGGCCAAAAGGTTTTATTAGAAAGACAAATCCTATAAGTACTTTACAAGACTACACTAAATTCTTTAGCATTTTATGTATCACCTTGGAATTTCTAAACATTCCTTTTGCTTCTTTAAAATGACCCACTGGTTAACTTCAAGGCTAAAAATGACAAGACTGTAACTACTTTACCATAAAAACTTTGCAAGGGCCCAGTTCTTTTTTTTGGTTTTTTTTTTCTGGTACCAGGAGTCGAACTCACGACCTTGCACTTGCCAGGCAGGCGCTGTGCCCCTGAGCTAAATTCCCAGCCCCGTAGGCCCAGTTCTAATATCACAGCACTTCTACTTATTTTCAAGTGACTTTCAGGTTTAAAATGTGCTTCAAAACAATAATTTCAAAATTTATTGACTAGAATCCATTTAGAAGTCAAATATTTTTTCAGACTCAATCAGCAAGGGCCTGGGATATAGCTCAGTGGCATAAGCACCTGCCTGGCAAGTACAAGGTCCTGAGTTTGATTCTTGGTACCAAAAAAAAAAAACCAGACTCAATCAGCAAAAGTTGTTTGGCATTTTGAACAAAAGTCTCCACAAGATTTACACTGGAATCTCATAAAATTAATTTTGAATTTTGGTACTCCATTTAGTAACTATGTGAAATATCCCTAAGTTTCTGCACAAATCCTAAATAATAGAAGATTTTGTCTTCATTAAAAGCAACACTATTATTCACAAATTATTAATTAAAAATCCTAAGATAAAATTCAATACTTTAAGCTTACATTTGGATATCTGGAATTTCTGGGCCAACCATCAATAGCAACAATAATCCTCCGTCCTTCTAATGCAGAAGCCTGTCTGGTTTCTATCCGAATCCGGGGAATTCTTTTATCAGCAGGTGTAAAGAGATGTCTTCTTGACTACACAAAACCAGGGGAAAGTAAGTTTGTTTTGGTGATAGTGACATCAACCCTACAGTGTTTCACATGCCAGGCAAGTACCCAGGAAAACAAAAAAAAAGAGTTAACAAAAACAAAATATGAAAATAGGTACAAAAGGAGCGCTACAAGTTCTAGTAAATATTTATCACTTTTTATTAACAGGAAAATATTCTTTACTCACCTCCTTAATATCAGACTTGGAAAGCATGCCACAGTATGGTCTCCAATTTCTTTTTATTATTCCCACAACTCTACCTGTAGGCTTTAACATCTTTTCATTTATAGCAGTCTTAAGCTGAAATATAAAAATAAAAACCTTCAGTCATTTTTCTAAGTATAATGAGACTCTCCTTCCAAATTAGAAATACATACATGGCCAAAACATTCAAGTAGTAAATTATGACATAAAACTACAGAATCATTGGACTTCAAAATTCTAGGCAAGAACATTACAAAACAAGCCATGAACATTGTTCCACGATAAAAATTACAAAAATAGACAATTAAAAAAAACTAGTATATCTGTCAGAACTCATTCTTCAGTTTTAAATAAGGGCTCATTGACTAAAAACACATACAACCCTAGGAATCAGTAGACTAGGACTTTATACTAGTTTACCCTAATTAGCTGAGCTATGTGGTTATGACGAATAGTTCACTTTTGGACCTTTACTATTCATTTAAAAAGACATACTTTAAAGGTTTTTCCTTATCCAAAACAAAAACTCAAAGAATGTCTTCCTTTTGAAAGACATCTTAGTGGCTATAGTAAGACTCCATAAAACTGATGGAAAAGCAAGAACTACAAATGTTGTATGTATTTCAACTATATTATTTTTATAATTCTAAAGCAGGAAAATAAGTAGGTCATTTCAAGTAGACTTAGTTCATAAAAGAGAAATGAAAGCACTCTCTTCATAATATAGTAAGAGATGGAATACTTAAACATGCCCAAATACAAAGGTCCAGAAACATGTTATGCTAAGGAAATTTTAACATTACATAAAAGCACTTCAGAAATTTTTAATTTATTTACTTAAACCTCACTAATTCAGATCACATACTGAACGTCATAGATTTCCAGTTATAAACTCAAATTAATAGGCTATGTGTTTAAATCAATGTATTTGAGTAAATTATGGCATTAAAAGAACATCAACTATGTTGATGACATATAATGAACCTACAGCACTATAATTTCATTCAATAATCTGAAAACAATGAAATTAGTTTAAACAATGATTTAGTTTAGTCAGTCTCTCCAAAGCTGACCTGTTAGTTTAGGAGCACTGTACAAAGTTCCAGACAGGAAAGTAAAGCCTGTGTGTTTCCTACCATGTGCTCTCTCTCCTCTTCTCTCTCCACATCATCTTCATTTTGACCCTCATCCTGTAAAACCACAGAAGATGGTGCCACCCACTGACTCTTGGGGAGAAGCTCCACGGCCACCACATCTTCATGAACAGCTCGGTTTAAATGTTTCAGTCCTTGTACAATTATCTGTTTAAAACAACAGACAGCATGTGCCCATATACTTTAATGGCAGGAATGAATAACTATCTAGTAGACGTTTATATATATATTCTAAATATCTTTATATAATCTTTATCTCTTTATATATATATTTAATAATGTTCCTTTGCTATACATTCTCAACATCTACATAGTTAAGTATAAAAAACACAGGTCAGAAAACAAAGTTGTACTCATGACCCTACTGTAACTTATAAAGATACCAAGAATCTTTTATTTTTTTTTTCAGTACTGGGGAAAATTAGGACCTTGCACTTGCCAGGCAGGCGCTTGTGCCACTGAGCTATATCCCCCTGCCCTGGTACCAAGAATTTTGGGAAAAGTTTAACTTTCTAAATCTCAGGGTCCTGATCAGTGAAATGAAAACCTATGAACTACTTTTATAGGTTCGGCTGCAGATTAAATGAACCACTGCATGCAAAGCATTAGGATAGTATCTGGCAAACAGTGACCACTGGAAGCCTTCTGAATGATTTATAAGTAGTTTTAGTCATAATATATAAAATGGAAGCATCTCATTTTTTTTAATCACTCGACGGGTTAGATTTTTACTTTTAAAAGTGGGCTACAGTTGGGTATGCTGGCACATGCCGGTAATCTCAGCACTTGGAAGGATGGGTCAGGAGGACTGCTATGAGTTCAAGGCCACCGTAAATTGCACAGTGAGACTCCGTCTCAAAAAAGTGGGCTAACAGAAAGTTCACACCCTCAATAAGCAACTTCCTAAAAAGTGCTTACTTCTACTGGTTTTTATGACTTCTTTTAACATGATAAATTAGGAGTATAAAGCAAACTTAAATTCTTATACAAAATTTTAAATATTTTAGCGTATAAAACACTTATTTTAGTGGATAAAAATTTGTATACTTGCCTCTTTATTGTCTTCAGTGTCTCCATGAATCCACACTGTTGCTTCTAAGTAATTTTCCCTGCTAGCTCTAAATGTTCCTTGAAGGTAAACACCAGATTTTATGCCTTGTTGTAGCTTACTTAAGGCAAGATGCTCTGAAAATATTATTTTCCCACTTTCTATTTCATTCTATGAAATAAGTAAATGAAAAGATGCAGTTAGTCTTCTGTTTATTCAATATAGAACTATAATTACTATTAAATAATTTTTTAAAATCCACATTGTAGTATATGTGAACAATTTTCTTTGCAAAAGGGAGTATTCTTTGTGTGCTATCTAATACAACAGAAATTAGATATCATTTTCTTTTAAGCAATCTATAAATGGCTAGTACCAACTAAGAAACTGAACTTTATAATTTAAACATCCATATGCAATTAGTGGCCACATATTATACACCGCAACCCTAAATCTATAGAGTATTCCAACAATCAAGTCCAACTTTTATCTTCTCACTTCACTTTAGTTTTATAAAATAGCTAAAGAAGGCATGGGAGAAATGTCATAAAGACTGGATACATTCATATATACACGCACACATAACACACACGCACACCTATATATATATATATAAAAAAGTCGTTATGTAACATTCTTTCTATAATAATAGCGTGCCAGGCACTAAGATAAAAATTTCAATAATTTACCATTATCTCATTTAATTCTCTTAAAAACGTTATGAAGTCATTATTGCTAAACATGTTTTATATATACACACTATATGAAAAGAAAATGAAGGTTCAGAGTTTGATTATTCCTTTAGCAACATCCCTCACACTGACTGTTGCAGTAACTTCTTTACTCACCTGTTGCCCCTAGTCTCGCTGTAGGTAACACTGTAGTATCTTTCACACTGACATTAGTATTCTTACAAATAAATACCAGAAAGCTCCCTGTCCATGCTCTCGTATGGCCTCAATGTCTCCAATTCTGCCATACAAAGTAGGGAGGTCAGAATCCTATCTGCTGTCTTCTCTTTTTTGCAGACTTTCACGGAGATCTTGTAAGACACTTGTAGGATTACTGATGGATAGAATAAACTCGAGGTCCTCATTATCTGGTGCTGCTCCTCTTACCTCTTCTTCTGAATCCCTTCCCTCCACCTTTGAACTTCACACTGTCTACACTGCCTGCTACTTCATTTCTCAAACACCTACCACTTATTCACAGATCAGCCAAGGATTCCATTCATTTTATCATCAAAAATAGAGCCACCATCTGCCAAGCCTTATTTCAGAGAGTTAATTCATTTAGAAATGGCACGTTAATAAGTCTATTATAGTCACTCCTGTTGTTTCTAACCCAACTCCTACTCCAATTCCAGCCTATTGATATTCCAACTATTAAATCTGGCAGCTGCAAGCCTCATATGTCAAGGTGACTATTTCAGTATTTTCACTTTTCAAAACAGAACAAACTAACACATACCCCTTCTTCAGACAAACAAGCAAGACGATCAATGAGTTCAGGATTAGCAGTTAAGCTCTTTATATATTCTTCACCTGAAAAATAAGTTCACATTTTCTTAATAAATTCAAGTGTCAACCTGCCCATAATTTTTAGATGAAGTTCCAAACAGCAGTAAATATTTCTACACCTAGGCTTACACGTGAATGCTGGTATTCCTTCTTCTACAGCTTTCTCTTTGTTTTTGCGGTCATTTGTTATGAATACAACTTGCAGCTGATTTTCTGCTGACATTTTCTTCAGATGTTCATTGTACCATTTTGCTGCTACTCGAATGGCTCTATCATTTCTGTCATTAGCATTTTCTCCCTGTTCTTGCTCTACGTAGGTCTCTCTATAAGGGGAAAAAATAAAAAGAAATCAACAGAAACAACATGTAAAAACTTTCCAGATACTGAAACTGAAAGTCAGTATGAAAGCCAGTAAACTGAAAAGTCAGTATGTATCTGTTTTACTTGACTCTGCAGACCTATTTATCAGAGAAGAAATAAACAGGATGTTTATAGCTAAGTTTTTAAAACAACAATTTGCTTAGAAAAGAAAAAAATTATAAATAAAAAGCTTCATACAATTTTATTTCACAAAAAGAAAAATTCAAGATCAGCATTTATAGTTCATGCTGGGACATTAAAGTTTGTTGAGCTGGGAGTGGTGGTGCATGCCTGTAATCCTAGTACTCGGGAGGCTGAGGCAGGAGGATTGTTGTGAGTTTGAGGCCAGCCTTGGCTACAAAGTGAGCTCAAGGCCAGCCTGGACTGCATAGGCAGACCCTGTCTCAAAAAGACAAAAAATTAATAAATTAATAAATAAACAGCTTGTTGAAACAAACTAATAAACTCTATAGATGTTAACACTTCATTCTTCCACAATTCATTCGAACTGTGGATTTATGTAAGTTCCTAACCATAAATTATCCATGGTAAACATTCAATAAAAGGCAAAGACTAAGTAGATAAGGAAAGATCAGATAGAGTTGATACTGCATGGTCCCTCTAGGACTATCCACTCAGAACCATGACTGCATTTACCTATTTCTTCTTGTTCTTCGAATCCAGATTTAAGCACAATAACAAAATTCAGTATAATAGCCTCTGGTGTCTAAAGAGACTCAATTTTAGACTTATCTGATAGATTTTAAGAATTATTTTTATTCTCCACCATTAAATGTACCTGCTAATGCCTTAAGCTTATCAGTGAAAGATACGGTGATAGACTTGAATTTAGTTTTAACGACTTGAGTAAAAAAATCTTAGATGAGAATTGCTATTATCCTTAAAAGTCTTGCCACAAATCCCAGTACTAGGGCCTATTTATATTACTTGAACAAACAAAATTGCCAACCAATCAGGAATCTGATGAACATACTCTGCCAAAACTTAATCTTTTGGCACTGAAAAGCAAATAATTTTCCTGTTACCAGTACCAAAAAGGTACAATGCATAAAAATCTGCAAGTGCTTTATTGGTGTTCCTTATAAGAGCAATATTTAATTTTGTGCTATAAAAAATTTAAGAAATTATTTTTTTTTTTAATTGTACACAATATGATGGGATTTCATTACTACAATCTATAGTCTAATCCAGTGGTTCTCAATCAGCGGTTGAACGTGCAGTTCCCCCGACCCCTCTACCAGAGAATCACATGGCGATGTCTGGAAGCGCTACATGTTACAACTCACTGATGATGGTGGGGGGGAGACTGTTTTTTTCATGTAGTAGGCAGAGGTCCTGGATGCAGGTAAACGTCCTACAATATACACAACAGCTTGGCCACAACAAAGTACTACCCAGCCCAAGGTGTCAACAGGGTCAAGCCTGAGAAACTGATGAAGTGCCACAGACACCCACCACAGATTATTAATGTAAAATCAGAAATAGGCAATATTGCATTTTTGAAGACTACACATCGAATTCAAAGGTCTTCAAACTCACCAAAAACAAAACAAGCAAACAAAAAAAGACAGGCATGGTGGTGCACACCTGTAATCCCAGCACTTGGGAGGTTGAGGCAGGAGAATTACCCCAGTTAGAGGCCAGCTTGGGCTACATAGTGAATTCAAGGCCAGCCTGAACTACATAATGAAACCCTGGTTCAAAAAGAAAAACCTTCATCTAACCTTCAGTGTGATTCAGATGTAAGAAATTTAGAGCCCATTAAGAATAAATCTAACTTATGCTGTTAAATCTTTCCTTCACAAACTCATCTTCTTTATTGCATTACCCTGTATTGGTTATTCACATAATACAGCATTCTAAGAAGCTATGCTTATCTCACCTTTCAAGAGTCTATTGCTGATCACATGTTAAACCATGTGCATTTAAAAATGAATACACTGTGGAAATAAAAGTAACTAGTGTTATAGCCTAAGAGTTAGTAGATCTTGGTTCTATGTTTGACCTCCTCAATGCCTAGGTGACCTTAGTGAGATCCACTGAGCACTATGTCCCAGGCAGCTGTGTAAGAATAAAAAGGCATAGGAAACCATGGTTTATCTTCAACAATGTCACAAATTACACCTAGGAATCATCTTTCAAATTTAGAGGCCAGGCGTGGTGGTGCACGCTTGTAATCCCAGTACTGGGGAGGCTGAGGCCGGAGGATCATTGCAAGTTCTAGACCAGCCTGGGCTGCAAAGTGAGCTCAAGGCCAGCCTGAACTGCCCCCCTCTCAAAAAGACAACAACAACAAAAAATGTAGCTAGTTATGCTTTTGTGATGCTTTATACACTTCTCTTACCTATGGTGCTCATTAGTGAAGGTATAAAAATGCTTTTCTTGGTTATTAGTCACATCCCGAATTCTTTTATATACAGGGGCACTCCGATTTCTCACTTCTTGGAGAACTGTTTGTAGCACAATTACATTCCTGATGGCAGGGTCCTCGAGCACATCAATCTTCAAAAGAAAAACGAAAGTTACTTTTTCCTATTTTCATTTAGAAATTGCTTCTGTCAAACAAAACTGTCAAGTTTAAAAACATTCACTATATATTAAGCCATGGAGTTACTCTGCTGTATAAAAAGTGACAACAGTCACTCAGCCCTTCAGGCCTATGCAATAAGCACATAGAAAAAAACTAAAACTTGGTAGTATTAAGGCTACTCATACAGAAATAAGTGGCCCACATGGTTTCTGTTCGTAGGCACTTACAAGCTGCCTGGGAGTCGCAAGCTGCAAGCCTCAGAAGCCCAGGTCCCCGGCTTCCAGGCACTTATAATCTAAGGTAGAAGAGACACCAGGAGTTAGAAAATTAACGTGTCTAAAACTTTTTTAAAACCTCCAAAAACTGAAGGGGGAGAAAAGTCACAAGAAAAAGAGCGCCGGCCCGGGAGGGAGTAAGCGCGGATCCCGATGCGGCGTGCCTCTCCTGAGTCCGTGACTGTCACACACCCGCCTCCCGGGCCTCAGTTTCCCTGTCCGCCACACGCCCGCCAGCCGACGCACCTGGTGCAGCAACACGTTGGTGTCGGGCAGCAGGTAGTGCGGCCGCGGCCAGAGGCTGCTGGCCTGGTCCTGCGGCTGCGGCTCCAGCGCCGGCCCTCCGTGCGCCCCGCCGCACTCCGCGCAGCCGGGGGCGCCGCAGCCGATGTCATCGCGCAGGTAGTGCTCGCGCACGATCTTCAGCACGCCGCCTGTCCGGGTCTTCTTTAAGAACGTCTTAGACTTGAGCATCTTGCCTCGCGGTCCGCGGCGGACTCCCGACCGGCCACAGCACCCTACTGGCGGAGTTACCCTTCCGTCCCACCCCGGGGGCTCGCTTCTTCACGTCCCAGGAAGTTAGCGCGCCCCACTCGCGGGAAAACGCCGAGCCGGATGCTGGTTGGCCCTCCGCCGGCCGCGACGATTGGGCGGGGCGGGGATGACGTCACTTCCGGTCTAGCCCGGCGGAGTCTGAGTCTAGACTCGCGCTCCCGGCCTGCACTGCTTCCCGCGCCGGCGAGGCTCCCGGCGGCCTGCGTTCCGGCGGCTGCACTTGCGCTCCCCGCGTCCTCCCGGCGGCGCCGGCTGGTTGTCGTGGTTACGGCTGCTAACCGCCCCGAAGGCTGCTAGCGGAGGGACTGCCCCAGAGCCGCTGACTGGAGGCGCGTTCGGTTCCCCAAGGCGTCGGAGGTGGTGGCGGGGCCGGCTCTGGATGTCCAGCGTGGAAGCTGTGGAGGTAGCTCGCGGTCGTGCCCGCGTCTTCCGCGCGGGGCGAGGGGCCCCCGTTGTTGCCGAGTTTGGGGGTCGGTGTACGCCGATCGTGCGGGCAGCCGCATCCCTGCGTCTTGGTAATCCAGGAGAAGGATTGTTTTCCATTTCTGCTGTCTTACCCCCTTCCCCTTAAAAAGGACCCTTCCTCTCTACGCTCCTCCTTTTAAGAAGACACGAGAGAGTACCATAACTTAGCGTATCGCTTACTACACGGGGATTGCTAACATTCTTATGAAAGGCTGAGGCATTATGTGTAGAGTAGTTGAGCTTTTTCCTTTTTCCTTCTTGTCTTTTTTCTACTATCTAGCTCATCAAAAATGCCTGTCTCATTGCGTCCCCATTAAAAACAAACAACAACAACAACAAAAGCTTCATTGATGCTTCACGTTTAAGGCCGTCCAGTTCTGCCATTAAGTGTGTGTAGAGGTCTAGGGAAGTCACTATTCTAATTCACAAAGATTTGCTACAGCCACTGTTTTCCGCTGTCAGCACCTGCATAGTTTCCTGATTTTACTGCACCTCTTTAAATCCTTCAAGATTCCGAGTCCTACTTCTGTATAACTTAATCTAACTCAGAAGTGATTTCTCTTCAACTTTGTGTTGCTTTTTAGGTGCATTCTTGGTTACTAATGGGCTCTGACCTTTATGTCTTACTTTTGTGTGTGTATCTTCCAACTAAGATTTCTGCTTCGGGAACTTTTTCTTTCTTTTTAATTGAGAGCCCTGAGTTTAGGGGACTGAAGATGTAATTCGTTACTCAGTGCATTTGCCTGGAGTGCTTTAGGTCCTGGGTTCCATCCTCAGCACTGGAAAACAGTAAGGGCTGGGTTTTTGGTAGGTTTGAATGAATCTGTTTTATTTAGCATTCATTTACTGTAGCAATCTGTCTTAGATTTGGGGTTCTCTAAGTTGTTACTGAGGGAATCTTTAGTATCTCATTAATATACTTTGCTTTCTATTAGTGCCTCAGTATATTTAAGTTCATAATTTTTATTCTACAGGAGGTTGAATTAGAAAAGAAAACTGACGCATAATAGTAAAAGATGTCTCGAAAAATTCCTAAAGAATCAAAAAAAGTGAACATCTCGAGTTCTCTGGAATCTGAAGATATTAGCTTAGAAACAACAATTCCTACAGATGATATTTCCTCATCTGAAGAGCGAGAAGGTAGAGTCAAAATCACCAGGCAGCTAATTGAACGAAAAGAACTACTTCATAATATTCAGTTACTGAAAATAGAGTTATCTCAGAAAAATATGATGATTGACAATTTGAAAGTGGATTATCTCACAAAGGTAAGAGCAAGTATAAATTTTGTGATTTACATGCTTTTTTTTTATTTTAAAAATAAAAGGAGGGAAACATTGACAGACAACCTTTTACAAAATAGCAAAAGAACAGTACAGACAATACAGAGTTACAAAGTGGTAGGAAATTAACAATGCTTGTTTTATTACACATTGATATCTTCAAAGTGGTTTCTCATGAAAACAGAGAGATGCGATATTGATCAATCAAGGACTCATTGACAGTTTCTTTCAGCAAAGAAATAGAAGACAGTAGAACAATTATGTTAACTATCCTGTATATACATACATACAAAATTTCTCCTTCTTTCCCTTCTCTTTTCCCACCTCCCAGTTGCCCTTTACCCTTGAGTGTTTTCCTATCATTTCACAATGTCTATCATACCTCCTAGTTTAAATTAACTCAGGTTTTACACTAATGAAACAATGCAGTGCTTGCACATGTATGTCTGATTAATTTCACTTCTGAGTATGGTCTCTAGTTGGGACCATTTACCTAAAAAAGCCTCAAGTTTATCTTTCTTTATAGCTGTGTACTATATTCCATTATATAAAAGTACCACAATATTCTTATCTAATCCTCGGTGGATGGACATTTGGGTTGCTTCCACAATTTAGCAATTACAAATTGTGCTGCTATGAACATAAGTGGACATATTTCGCTGTGGTATGATGTTTTTAGATCTTCTGGGAAAATACCCAGCAGGGGGATAGCTGGGTTGAATAGGACCTCTAGACCTAGTTTTCTGAGGAATCTCCAAACTGATTTCCACAGTGGTTTCACCAGTCTGCATTCCCACCAGCAGTGGAGAAGGGTTCCTATTTCTCCACAGCCTCGCCAGCATTTGTTATTGGTTGATTTGTTAATGCTAGCCATTCTTACTTGGGTAAGGTGGAATCTCAATGTTGTTTTAATTTGCATTTCTCTAATGACTAATGAATTACATGCTTTTCTTTAAGCCACAGGTAAATAAAAATTATATATTTTCTTTAAGCTATAGATAAATAATATACTTAGTCCAGGACAGCCTTCTAATACTTTGAAAGACAGGGTGATTTAAATATGAGAACAGGTATATTCTGTAGGCTCAATTTTTAACTTCTAGCATTGTGTGAGGTGTAGATTTTCTTAGGTATAATTTGTAACCAAGCTGTTGTCTGCTTCACCGACCCTGATGTGATTAGTTTGGTAAGAAAAAATCAAGATCATAATTACATTATTCAATCTATATTGTCCTTTGCCCTTTGGTTTCTTTGGTTGGTACTTTTTAATTTGCTGATTACTGTGTCTTGTTTGTTGTTGTTGATAATTACTATGTCATATTAAGAGTTATAAATTCATGTATAGTCTTCATCTTGGTGATGTTTGCCACCCAGATAAGGTTGTCCTAGCCCAGTGGTGGCAAACCTATGGCACACATGCCACAGTGGATACACAAAGCCTTTTCTGCATGGGAGCCAAGTTCAGCATTGCGCCAGCAGCTGAACATTCACATTTAATTGCATTGTTGGCAATTTGTGATAAATAAGTGGGTTTTGGGTTGCAGTTTTGGCACTCAGTTTCTAAAAGGTTCACCATCACTGTCCTAGTCCTTTTTTTATTTTTTTTGCCATGTGTGATCATTTATATTTATAGAGTAGTTACTGTAAAACCTGGTGAAGTTTTCACTAACCTTAACAAAGATTAGATAGACAGAGTATATTTCTGTAGGCCTACCGGACTTAATTTTTTTGGTATTATCTCTTAATAGACTATAAGGATAAGAGAACAGGGATATATTTGTATTGCTGTTGTATCTCTAACGTTTAGAACACTACCTGTCACATTTTTAAATGCATGACTGATCCTTGTTTTGCTCTTGATGAAACAAAACCTCAGGGTGGTTAATAGCAAACCCAAAGCCATCCAGATGGAAGTGAAGGAGCCAGGTAGGATTCACATCTAGCAAATCTGAAGCCCATACTCTGCAGAAGTGAATATCCAAGCATTTCCTTTTAGGTGTCCTACATAGTCATCTCCCTAGGTTAGGCCATTTGGTACATTAGCAGTGGACCCACTAGGTTCCTGTGCCTATTATTTTTCTCCTCTTTCTTTTGCTGCATAGTGCTTTGGCTCATGTATCTCTACTTCTCAAGATTTCCTTTAATGCGACTCACTGGAAAGGGCCTGAGTTAATATTCCGTTCAATAATTCACTTGCTCAGTAAACAGATATTTCATTAACCACTTAACAGTTTACCCCAAGCGTCGCTCAGGCAGCACGTTTATTTACGTTCTAACTATCCCAAGCATCTCTCAGGCAGGTGTCATTTCAGTCAGTCAATTCTTGTATTGAATAAATTTGATAAAATTGTTTTGTAGTTTATGTTATGTATAAAAACTAATGAAAAATACCTAGTTTTGGGTCACTCTGTATTTAAATAATTGGACTGGTAAGTGGTTAAGTGCTGTCTTACTTACTTTTCTTGTTACTGAGATAAAATACCCAACATCCAAAGTTAAAGGAGAAAGTTTATTTGGCTCACAGTATGTAGAGGTTCCAGTCCATAGTCTGCCGGCTCCAAGGCAGGGTGTCCTGGTAAAGGAGAAACAGTCCATGGCAAACGGGCCATGAGAGCACATTAGCCCTCTTTCTGTCCTCATATTTTATTCAGGCAGCCTGCCCTAGGGTGGGTACTCACATTCTAAATTCTAGCCATAGCTCTGCCAAACCAGTCAGTGGACTGATTTAGTAACCACATACCTTGGATCCCAGCATCACACACTCTTGGATCCAGCTACCTCTTGAAAAGCCCTCTCTCCCCCATGACTACATGAGGCTTTGGGGGGACATCTAGACACAAACCATAACAAGTGTTGTGTTTACTACATCAGCACCTACATTTTTTTTTTGGCCTCGTTTGTTTTTCACTTGCAATGTACTTGATTATCAATAGCTTTTCTTATTTTTAAGGTTTATGTTACAGAAATGGGGATGGATTCATGACAGGCTGTCTAGTGTAACAGATCACAGTTACAATTCTAGGTACATAATTTCGAATTGAGTTCCAACCTTGCCTTAGACAATTTCCTTCACTTTTTTAAATCCTTGATAGCATATAAAATAATAATGGTACTATAAGGGGCCAGGGGTGTATGGCTCAGCATCATGGTGCCTACCTGGCAAGTGCGAGGTCCTGAGTTCTAGTCCTGGTTCCAAAAATAATAATAATAATAATAATAATGTACTATATTTACTTCATAGAATTGTCGGGAAGCTTAGTTCATGTAGGGTCATAAACATCTTATGTATTATAAAATGTAGTGTTATGTTATTATTATGATTAA